GTATGCTTGCAGGAGCAGGGGAAGACATATTGCTTGACAGACTCACGCAACAGTCTGATAATATCCAACATGTATTTGCGAAATATTTACGCATAAAAACAATTCTAATTAACTAGTTTATGAGCACAATAGAGGTCCTGAGTTCCGTACTACAGACAATACCTGCACTATGAGTGTTGATCTCTGAAAACTAACTTACTAGCCCGATCCAGTTCCAAATCGATGATTCTGTGTTAAAGCTAAGATTTCTTTATTTTAAAGCGATCCTTAATATCGATGACTTTAGCTTACTCTTCGTTTCTAAGATGCTTCTAACGAAATATATTTAAATATGAACGAAATATATCTGAAAATGACGAAATATACTTGAAAGCGACCGTATGCCACTTATGTCCCATATTTTCATTACAATAAATAGATATTATCGTATCCGCAGATCGTGTGCAAATCTTACGATGCGGCTCCATTCCCTGCAGAGCAGTCTATCATAGTTAACACAGACCAAAACTACCCACCTGATTAGACAGTGTTCGACCGGAAACTACAGCGCTTTACTCTTTTGAGCTCTATCAAAACAAACCTATATTTTAGTCTCAACTAAATACATATTCAATATCCACTCCCATCATTCTTTCTATGGCTTTCACACCCCACAAACTCATCGCTATTGAAAATTTCAGCCCTCGTGCCTCATACTTCCCAGTGGCCGAGGTCTACCTAAACGCTTCCTTCGAAGTTACCCCTTTTGGCTTTCTTAGGTATATTCTAAACTACACGCCGCCCCCGCAAGGGTTCTTCTGTGTGTTCGGCTAGCGTCAGGCCCTTATATGACTGCCACGTTATCGGGCAGTGAGTAGGTCGGGCTCCCACAGAGCTTGGCTTTCCAACACCTGACCACGTCCACTATGACCGTGTGTGTGTGAATTTCAGAGTGTGTGTACGCTCAAATGATCCTCATTACTCAGCGTCATAGACTACTCACATTGCATTACGAATAAATGCGGATCCTGAAGCTTCCAGCAATATGATGGCTATTGTAGTGTGGTGTATCGGGAGACAGCGGCGTTAATAGTCCATGAAAAAATTGCCAATGGTCATTTTTTTCTGCTGTTCCATAGCTGATACCTCTGATTTTGGAGCGATTCTTATCTGCTGATGCTATTGTAGTCATTTGTTGATTTTGGTTTCGTCGTTGCTAAGGCTAGCATCGGTTGGACGTGTCCACTACATCGACGCCCTTTTGCTCAATGCAGAATGGGTCGGAGCCACGAATGCCGTCCCGACGCCCCCTCGGCCCGACACCATAGATCCACCTAGATTAAGTCGCTCTGCGTTGTTCTTCGTTCGTCTTCCCATACAACCCCCTACTCTTTCGCCGCTTTTATGTTCCGATCAGTTGTTCCTGTCTGCACTTCTCCTGCATAGAGCGATATTGATCAAACCACATTCGCAGCAGTGTGCCATTATGGTCCGTGGCAGTCGACTTGCAATGATTCGTCGATAATAGCTGTCGATTAATTCCGTGGACGACCATACCTCTGCGTCCTGTTGAATGTCGAGGGTCAGTACAGCAATACCTGAAGTTTGAACATTTATAATATACACACACGGCCATGCACAGCGTAGCTCACAATGGCGACTGGCTGAAAATACGTATGCTTCAGAGGAAGGCACTTGCTGATCCCCCCGTCAAGGTATTTCCATCGTCGAGTGTTTATCGGTTAGTCGGCCCCGTTTGTGTTCCTGTCCCTATCAGATTCCCCATACCTCTACAGAGCGTTTCTTACGTCTCATGCGTCCATTATTGTATCAAACACTAGGGACACAGACACGTACAATTGTCAGTCGTATTTACCACAGCACAAAGCACCTCGTCTGGACGATGCGGCGGCGATTGCCCTAGCAGATGCCATAGTTGACTCCGAGGGCGTTAATTATTCTGCGCTTTCGTGCACGCCACACGAAAAATAATCAGTCGGCGAGAGGCGTGTGTGCCTCATGAAGACGTTCAGTGAAAGCTGTTTGGTGCAAACTCGTGCCTTCTTTGATCAAGAGTTTACTACGTGAAGCAGTCGTGCAGCCGTTAGATGGCGCGGGGTCGATCCGCAGGGGTTGATTCTCTGTTGTTTTCGTAACTTGTTGTCTCGCTTCTGGTGAATGATTTCGTAGCGTCCCTACCGATATTGACGCGTATGTGTGCGCGCGCTACTGTAAGTCTTTTTCCTCCGGATATTTTCCCCTAACTGACGACAACGGCGCCAACGACAACAACAGCAATTGTGCCAGAGAGAGATAAAAAATCGGTGCCCCGAAGTGCCGTGATTCACAACGAATATCACCGAGATGAGTAAGAATAACACTTACCAACGAGAACGTAAAACGATGACCACTGAACCATAATCAATGAGAGTTGAAGCGCCGCATTCAGCCTGCATTATATAGCATTTTTGTAGAAGAAGATCCTCGAGATCAATAGTGGCGGCGCTAGCGACGGCAGCAGAAGAAAACAACAGGAGACTAGCAGCAATATGGGTCTGAGCGGCGTTGACGCAAGCAACAGAAATCAATTGGCATTGATCAATATCCAGTAGGATTTGCTTTTCAGGAGGGGGGCGTTTTTATGTCTCGATATTTAACCCACGAAACTTATTGATGGCAGCCAGACGTATTAGCTACGGCAGAGCTCTATATAAAAGGATCGCTTTGGGCGCGTTTGCACGACAACAACAATACGCTGATAGACACGACACATCGTCACTAAAAGCCAGGCTTTGCTTTCCTTCAGGGGCTCACCGGTTCTGACTTATGATATGTCGCACCGTATCATGCCTTGATGAACATCCGCAGGATGGCGGGAAGAGTGATCTGTTCACGTAATCCATTCACTTTGCCTGATATCGTACGAGTGACAGCCAACTGAGGTAATGTCCATCAAGATATGACGGTTATCTTCCTTAACCAAGCTGCCTGGGATTTTTAAGTTTCTCTCTTTGGAACTTATAATTTATGTAACCATATCAAGTAAGCGAGGCGAATAGCATAAGTGCTTGATTGGATCCATAATAGAGATTTCGAATAAAAAAGCATTTCGAAGCATGGCGCTTCTTCCTGCCGAAAACAATGACAGCAATTTGGTACGAAGTCGTTGACTACCGTAGGAGTATGGGGTCAGTAACTATTATTTACAGAGAACGTGCAACCCAAGTCCTGACGGTGAAGGCACGATCATGAGTTTGCCTTTCTCTTTAGAAAGGCTAGAAAGGCTCTTAGAAGAAAAATTCATTTAATTTGGTATAGTGTAAGCGACTTTCAATTCAGCCCGGGTCGGCAATACGATTTTCCAACGCGAAGAGTCCTTAATCGAAGTAATTATTCCAGGTTCGAAAGTTCAGCTAAGATTCCTGTGATCCTACGATCTCTTGCTAGCTAAACAGGCGCTTTAACCAACATTGGGGTGCCTTTCGATTTTCGTTCTTTACGTATATGTTGTGGAGTACATATATATATATATGTACTCTATATATATATATATATATGTGTGGCACGATGACTAGCTGATAGTGCCACTCAATACTATATCAAAATCGCGGTTTTAGTATGTAAATACCCTAAGTGTCTCAAGTTAATTTCACCTTATTTTACTTATAATTACTAGCCCATAAAATATTCTATTTATATTATTAATATATTAAATTTGCGATGATAAACTCAGTTCGACGTAACAAAGGTGAAACAACGCAACGTAATCATATTATCACTACGTAAATAGTAAAAAATATTCGAGCTGAAAAATCTATCCAGTAGTTAATACAATATGGTTAGATTAAGCAATTACTGATTCGCACGAGCCCTTGCTATAATCATATTTGTCTACCGATTATCCCAGGTACTGATTGTTGTTTCGGCGACACGGTGACCACGATTCAATGCTACCCATCTTCATATATATATATTGCTTTCGTTGGTGATGCGCTGTCTTTAGTTAATTGTTTCTCTCTGCTCATTTCCATCTTCTTTCCGCTGTTTTAGCTGTTTATATATATATATATATACGCTTGCTTCGAACCAGATCGGAAGCTTGTTGTCTAGTTGTTCTATAAAGTAACTATGTCGTTATTATTGCTGCTATTCCACGCTGCGGTGCGCTAAGAAGGCCTACGTTATAGCTTCAGACACGGTCGTAGTCGCACAACTAAATAAGTTGCGCAGGCCGGTTGATTCCGATGAGGATAGTCCGGGTTCCCGCACCCGTCGCACCGGGCCGTGTCGAACCGGGTTGGGTCTGTGAAGGAACGCATGGTGTTACGTCAAAGAGGGTAACGGGGGGACGATGCACAAGAGCCGGTTGCTTGGCTAGCAGACGAACAAACAAACCGATACAGTCAGTTGGCAAGGGACGCGCACTAGACAACAAGGGACGGCGGCAAGATAAAGACCAACAAGTTACCAACGGCAGGACAGACCAGTCGTCGAACTGTTGTGCTGGTATTGCAGTTTCGCCTAGAAGAGGAACTTAGGACAAGTGAAGTAAACAACACGAACGTAAGAGGAGGATGGAACGAGAAAGAACGGCAAAACACCTCTGGGGGTGGTAGCCATTGCAAGTCTACCGCCGAATGGGCTAAAGAATGAATTAACATTTGTGGGAGTGCAGCTCACCAGGAACAACGTAGCGTGGGTCGGCACAGCAGTGGTCGATGACTATCGGCAATGATCGATGGTGACTGGAGAACCTACTTCGCTGTAGGTTGAGCCATCTCAAAAATATAAATCATAGCATTGGCAGTTATATCTGCTAAAATCAATATCGCCTATTACGTTTTGAGCAGCCAAAAACATCATTAAGTATAACTGGTAGAATAACGTAGGGATAGGAAAGCTGAAAGGAGACTTTGTCCTTTTGTTGCGAAATTGCTGGTAACATCAGTAATAGTAGCTGGAGCAAGCGGTGCCATGTGACAGGCGATACTAGATTGAATCAATAAGCTGGCAGGAGGTAGGCTCTATGTAAATAAATAAACTTACTTACATGAACATTTTTATATAGCAAATTTTATTCAGTTCTGTTATTATTTCAAACATTTCAACCTTTATACGACGTGCCTGCGTTAATCGTTGCCAAATAAATAAATGTAATTATCTGAAATATGTTTTCCAATGCGTTTTCTAAAGATAGGACTCGTCTAAAACAAAGTAATTAATTCAAGTGACCAAATTATCAATTGGTGTTTATACTTTTGCGGCAGCTCTCGATACAACGGTACCAAGAAAAGATACTAATATTAAAAAGGGGATGACTGTCCAAAAATAGGAAACAGTATCAATCTGTAAAGATTCGTTTGTAATCTCTAAATTTTACGTTCTTTCACCATATTTATTGATATAACACGACCTATAAATAACTAATCGGCAGTAGTGTCTCGTTGCAAAAGACCACTACAATAAGTTAACTTAGTTCGTAATTAGCAGACGACGCGGCCAGCGCCCACACTTAGGTGACGTAGGAAGGCAAGCAGTTCGGGACAGAACTTTTGTACCGAACATTCTGCACTGAATTAAAAAAAAAAAAAGCAAAAAAAAAAAAACAGGAATAAACCAGCAACTTAATGCCTTCATATGTACAATATATACCCTATGTGTTCGCCTAATACACTTAATAATCGCCTATCTTATCTAGATCTATACAAGGCCCACTTTTGTGAGATGCGTCGCTGCTGGTGTATGGTCACCGTGTATGTGCTCAAGAATGTGTAGTCTTTTGTTAGTGTAGGTACCTTCTCTATCCTAACAGTAACGTTAGAGATTGGGCAACCTAACTTAGAATTCTTTGCCAATACATTCTTTTGTCTGCTTGGAGTAAACAGTTCTTGCCTTTAACATTTTTCTACTTCGAACAACAAAAGCTCAAACCATGCGCCCGAGCGGTAAAGATGCAACAGTAATTTTTAAAAAAGATTGAATTTGATGTCTGTTCGTTATCCGTACTAAGATTAATCGAGTGCGCCGTTTTATCTTAAACAGTTGTATAGTTTTTCCTCGCCTCAGGATTTTCGATTGTTACACAGTGTTTCTGATGACGATTTAACAAATGTTCCTTGGTGCGCGTGCACTTTTGCTTCTGCGTGATGTTTCAAGTAGGAGAAAATGCCACGAGGGCATAATAGTGTTAGGACAACAATTAACAGGAACTTGCTAACTGAAGACGTTGGCAGAGATCCAGTCTGAGGAGCTGGCCACACGGTGGTAGATGCCAGGCTGGTATTGCTTCGCGCAGGAGTAACCAGCCGAAACCACTCCGATAAGATACCAGACCCCGTTATCGCTGAACATTAGGGGACCCCCCGAGTCGCCTTGACATGAATCCCTCCCGCCGAACTCATATCCGGCGCACATCATCTCGGCGTGGATTCGCAGATTGATCCCTTGCTTGCGATGCCACCGCTCGCATTGTTCATTCCTCATCACTGGAACCTGAAAACGATGTCAAACAATTTGAGATTTTCAACCCGGCATTGCGATTGATGATACGAACGGTTCTCACAGGCGTCTTCCGCTACACCATTACTAGTATATGATGGTTTGATTGTTTAGTGCGAATGCTAGTGTTAATTATTTAGCAATATTGGTTAACTAATAATTTGCTATGATTGCCTGTATGGAAAAAGAAGTGCCCATTTAATTGTTTTACTGTTAAATACATATATAGTCAATGTATTTCAATATAGATTATTACTACCTGAACATTCTGCAAGGTGCGCGGACGTAGCTTCGAGCGTGGCTCTATGGCGCCCCAGCCAGCAACGGTGGCTGTACGTCCTGTGAAGTCGGCGCCCTTCTCGGGTAGGCAAATTGGCATGATGTTTTCGCGATATTGGACTGGCCGATCTAGCACTAAGATAGCAACATCATAACGGTCAGCCTGTGGCGTGAATTGAAAGTTCGGATGCACACGAATCTGTAGGACGTTGTATTCTTCGTGAGGAAGCTCTTCGATGTCTGAGTTAAGCACGAGATCGCCCAAAATCACTTTGATCGATTCAGGAGCTTTGGCTTTGGCGACGCAATGCCCTGCTGTGACAACATGTTGCCTGCCAACAAGTGCCCCTCCGCAACGGCTTCCAGCCACAAGGATAAATGCTTGCCAAGGAAATTCGCCAAACTCGGCATCATTACCACCTACGATTCGGCTTACCCTGCCAGCGCTCCGTCCACAATACGGGTCATTCTTGACTGGTCCAAAGATTGGAGGCTGTATGGGCTTCTCCGATGGATAATCACAACAGTACTGGAGCAAGCTTCCGCTGCAGGCCTTGACCGGCTTCCCGCCGGCCATGAGACAGCTAAAAATCATACCACATTTTTGGCCTATGTCACAGCCATCAATGTCATTATTTAGGCGGCCGACTATGCGTTGACCGAAAGGCCTCCGAACAAACTGAAAAAAATTGCCCTTATTGGACTTAGCCGCGTAGCGGGAACGGGACCGCGTCCTCCAGAGATTCCGGTTTCTAGTGCCACTACTTGTCGTCATGGCACGATACACTACGATGGGATGATTGGGAGTCTCGGCAGACATCGGGTCGAGGTATGGAACAGACTGTGCGTTGTAGATTTTTGCCAAAACATCGCTACGAGTTGCGAGGTTGAGCGCCAGCAAAAGCGCGGAAATGAGCTGTAGTAACAAGGGCAGAAAACAGAGCTTAGGCAGCGCTGGTGGCCACTGTCCCGAACGCCCCAGCAGGAGCATGGTACTCTGTATTGCACTTTGTTCATAAGTTTACGAGCGATGGTGATAATAACATTCTCGTCATTCTCTATTTCCTGGAATTAGAAGAAAAATTGAATGCGTAATTAGTTGTTGATGATTAAATGTTGTTGCAGTGTAGCTTCTATGATTCCTGATCATCGCCAGGTGTGCAAGCTAACTACGTTCGTAAGAGTAGAGCGCACTTCTGAATATTCAGCACACATTAAAATTCCCATTGAAGCTTAAAACACGATATTTCATCATATCTTTTTAAGAGACTCTATGGATTGTACTAGCCAAAAAGCAAGATAAGTGAAGTAGGCCAAGATCAACCAAGATGCAATGCTTTTCCAAATGGGCTTTTGGAATATTATTGACTGAGTACTCCGAAAGGCGAAACACTATCGGAAAAACAAGATCGACAATAAGCTTTTCTTTGTAAAGTTATAATATAATATAGCATCAATATGTTAGCGTAGCCTCGTATATGTCTTGTACTGGTTACATATCGCGCAGATTTTAGTCGTTCCCCGCTCCGGTGGGTGAAGGGCCGAGTACACTGGGCGTATTACAATTCTCGATCTTTATTTTTTCTACTGTTCCTGTTGTGGATTCGGCCTTCCACCGTTATGAGGGCTCATGCACTTCTACCCTTCTTACTAAATCCAAACAAAGCGCTATATATACTTGCGTATGTGTATATGAACATATATACTACCCTCTTGTGAGGTATATGCCTTGGCCATTTTAAACACACAGATAGTAGCATGAACATTATTATTCTTAAATTTTATAATAATAGTCTACGCATAAATAAATGTCAGAGTAGAGCTTTCGTAAATGAAAATCCGAAATCGAAGGTAAAAAAGTTTTTGATATTTGACGAAAAGTGTTCAGGAGTCGTTCACTGATAAGTTATTTAAGTATGAACCTTGTACTAGGTTTTTTAAGCTCCCACGAAGTTAGTTTTATCGTTTTAGAATCTGAACTAAGTAAAGGAACGTAACACCATCCCTCTGTAGCAAGAACACTGAACATGGCAACTAAATGATTCGAGCATGACCTATTTTTGAATTTTGTTGTATTTATTAGTATATTTATGTGAAGTAAGCGGCCGTATCATCAATCCGCAGAACATCACTCCTTCATTTTTGATGGCTATTCCTTCTAGAGTAGAACGGGGACGGGTAACCAGGATATTGCCAAGACCAATGCAAAGTCCAAGAGCGTTAAGCGTTTGGCGCATAAGTCTCGAGTTCGCAGAAACTTTTAAAAAAAAATTAAGCTGTTAGATGAAAACATAACACATGTCGTTTTTTTGTTTATACCTTCATTTTTTCATGAATAGAAAAAGTGAATCCTCTCTCTGTAGCGCCCTTGTGGTCTAGGCAATTCGCAGGTCACTAAAATTCAAATTATTACTGTTACTGCTGCCCGTTTTTCGTCAATTCAGCGTCTAACTGCAAACCTACTTTTCTACCTAAACGAAAACCATAATTTTACTCAAGTGTAAACTTAACATAGATACGTATTCTTGGGTGAGTCGATTAGCTCAGCGTATGTTTATTCGTAATACCCCTTTTATCTCCCTATTGATGGCCGGCTCTAACTCATCTAGTAATATTATCAGTTTCAGCCTATTCCGTTTTATTGTTTCCGGCTTTATAACAAAGCTGACACAATAGCCTTGTGTGCGAAGTTCGAAACTATTGGCGAATAAGTTGTAACATCGGTGTAAGTTCCAGTGCCAGTAATGGGTGTTTGTTGCTACCGCAGTCGAACATAGATATAAAGAATGACATTAAGATAATGCTAGTGAAGTTTGCGCTTTTTGAAAAGTGGTATCTTATGCAAGACTCGTAAATTGCAAATTTCAGAGAGCCACCGTAAGTTGTCGGTGGTGCAACCCCTCTCCTTTCACAATAATAAAATATAAAGGATGGAATAAAGTCAGCATTGCAGTTAAAAAAAAACTGCCTTCCACTATAACTGAAGCACGTATTGCTTTGATGGTCAAGGGTCAGCCTACCTTTTTTTTTTTTTTTTCTGTAAACCTTCCGAACTTATGTATTTTTAAGAGTTATATATTTGGAGTAAGACATAGTTTGTATGAATTGGCACAAGCATACACACTGAAATGAATCAGTGCGATCAAACAATCGACAACATCTCTCCTGCTGATCTTAATCCGCCCCTGAAAAGCTAGTCTAAATACCTAACAGCTCCAAATTAGACAAGCCGCTGATTTCTTGACTAGAATAACTGCTAATATGGTTACTGTTCAATGTAATTATGTAAAATGTTCGTTCTTCTACCGTAGTAAGAAGAGCAGGTTTCAACTCGTTTTTCCATTGTGGAAACTCCCAACCGGACTCTTAGTTCGAGAACGGGTGCAGTGACGCGGTAGTCGGCTCGTTCCAATCAAAACACCATCTTCGTCACAGCTCCGATTGAAGCGAATGTCTGTCTTACTATAGATACGCTATGTAACATGTCGACGATCAGCAGTCGCTGCCTCGTACTTGCCACCATGTTTACAATCGGTAAGCGGTCATCCGTTGGATGATCTAGACGTTCACAGTCCCGTTCAATTTCTTTCGGCTCCACCGGGCTGAGGTTTATGCCCAGCGAGCGTCTGCCTCGTTGCCACAAATATCGATGATGGGCACCCGATGGCCATTGGGACTGCTATCGTTGCAACTGCCAAACGCCGCGCCCGGAGTGCATGTCGCGTAGTACCTGTTAATAAGGACGAAGTAGTGGAGGAAAAAGCACCAAGAGCAAAAGTTGTAAAAGCTCCCCCCCCCCCCCTCAAGGCGGTGACCCGACGATGCCCTTCGGTAAGATTACCACAGCCTAATCGCTGCCGTGTCGTAAGAATCGCTGACGCTGCTGTTGCATTTACCGCTAGCGTCTACAGACGCCGTCGCCAGAACTTGAAACAGAGCAGACGCCAATAACAATAAAAACAGTAATTGTTTGAGAGATCAACACTGCGTAAAAATAGATATTCATTGGCCAAACCAAAAAATACCCATTACTATAGCATTACTGGCGGCGAATGCCTTCGTAAGTTTCATCGACCTTTTTTTACCCCTTTTCGCTAGTAATAGCAGAAGAAGCACAAGCGAAAGCTAGACTCCTCGTGGATCTCGCTCTGATCGCATAGCGTGCCGCCATTGTCGACAGGCACAAACTTTCTCAAGAAACTATTGTATTTATTATACACGTAATAATATATTTCGATGATCATAAATTGCTTACGGCCTCGCTATCGGTCGTTTCTAACAATGACATATATTGTTCGGCGTCACGTATTTTAGCGTAGCCACGACATAGCCCACAACATCAAGCAGTACTGAGCGTCGTATTGAACGGCTTCATTTAGCTGAATTGGTCGTTTGGCGTTTCAAGAAGGAACTCGAAGGAAAATTAGTAACGTATACATCAACATCAGTAAAACAACTTTAAGACACATGAACCAAGATCATTGTGTACAGTAATTGAAGCCGCTGCGACCAACTTCGGTTAAAAGTATGATCAAGTTAAGTGATAAGTTAGAGCAGCCGATGGCAAGGGTCGAACAAATAAGCATACATAATAATTGTGCTAGCTCTAGGAACGGACGGAGAGTATTAAAAAGGAACGAAGTGACCTTCGTCATTACTGCTGTTCGGCTTTGTTTAGCTGACTGCTCAGACCATGTCGATGATGATGATGACCGTGAAAGTGTTGATTTGTACTTGCCGCGATTGCGGTCGCGAACCCCACCGATGCCTCATGGGCGACGGCTCGACGCAAAAACAAATGTTGATGTTTAAGAGAGAAAAAAAAAACGACAACTACGCCACCGCAAGACGTTATGCCGCGTCACAACGGAAGCGTTGTTGCTACCGTTTCGGTTGCCATAAGCAACAAAGAGACGGTCACCATCGCACGGGCCATCAATGGGACCAATGACCGTCCACCAATGGCACCTCCGCCGGGCGCGCTATGCAGCGTACAACTCCATGTAAAAATCCATGACAAAGTGTGTTAAGCTTGGCTTGGCCCATCCTTTCGTATACAGGCTTTCAACGAACAAGCAGTGGCGACGACACGGGAAAGCCAGCCGCATTTGGTGCTGCAGTTGGTTTTGATCGAACGAAACGACTTTAACTGAAACACGCGCGGCTGACGGTCGAATTCGCGAAGCGATTATTGCTAACGATGGATCGACAGCAAAGCCACTGATCTGAGCCGAGCAGAGCGTCGCTTTATGTGTCGTCGTTTTTGTGGGCGCAAGGCGCGACTCAGCACGCCACTCTGTACCTCCTGGACGCTGCACACAAATTCATAGGGCAACAAGGGTAATGAAAGTAGCAAGGCATGGCGTTACCTTTCGCCCCCTGAAGCATCATTATAGAAGCAAGTACAAGCAATGAACTTTGATGTGGTCTTCTTCGCCGCAACAATAAAAAAGGACGAAGCTCTTTTTTGCTCTCTCCGACTACGACTACCATTATGATGATGATCAACATTCGTGCGCTGAAATCCAGCTTGCCAATGCACCTGTTGCCGCAACCGCCACTTCCTTTCGGCGCGCGCCCCTTATGAAGACGTGGAAAAAAACGCGCGCCATTTCGCTAGATAGATACCGCCACTGCAGAACCGCAGTAAGAGGTGGTTGGTAGCCGGTAGTACGCTAATGATAATACGCAGTTTTAACAGCAGCACGGACACAACGATTCGCGTGACGTATCAGGAATAAATCGACGAATCTGTTTATACATTTCTCACGAGTTATATAACAGCTAAATATACATATAAATTATACGTAGATAAATGTTTATATATACATGGATGTGTACAAACTTTATTTTGTTGTTATTACTAATTTCAATACTGCTCTTTTCGTTCATATGCTTGCGGCTGTATGAGCGTGTCTGTCTCTGTATACAGGTATATTGCAGTAAGCGAGGCGGCAAGATTCAAATCTAAATTGTTATTAATTGGAGATTAAGCTAAACGTGACCAATTATTGTTGTAGAAGTTACTGTACAGAGAAGATTGTCGTCTAACGCGGCGGTCTATC